AAATAATTAAAGGAAAGCTTCAACAGTGAGGAAACAACCGAAAACAGAATGTTATTGAGGGAGGGGACCGTGGTCCAGCCCTAGCAAGCAGCAGAACTTGGCAGCTTCAGCCACATGGTTCTGGCTTTTGATCTCACAAAGACTGCACATTAGCACTCAATCCCAGCTGCCCCTTTTTCCAGACCCTGCTGACTCCTGACCCACGTGGTGTCTCCGGGTTTACTTGTTTGTTTCATAGACGCAGTCTTCTATGACTAGCTCCTTCTTTTATCATTATAATTCAAAGTTACTCCTGGCATTGAACTTTCTTAAGTGCTTCATTTGACTTTCTTCATACCAGTCCTAAAGATAAACCTAAGAGTCAACCCTCTTGTACTATGTGACTAAGTACGAATGAAGTTTTGGTGGTGTGCCCCATTAGCACACTGCAGTGAATGACAGTAAAGCAAGCTCTCCCTTACCCAGCCCTGGCACCCGGCAAACAGAGAGCAATGATTGTGCACTGGGGTGATGCAGTTAGGTGAGAACTTCGCTTCATGTAGTCGGCTGCCACAGAAATACCCACTCAAAACTCACAGCTCTAAGTCCATCAGCAGTGGTGGCTGTTAGGTCAGCTTTGCTCCTTCAACAACAGCAGTGATTGTGGTCAGGCTTGTTGCGGCAAAGACCAAGCCTGAGTCCTTGTGTCCATCCAGTTACAGGCAGTTGTGAATCTCTAGATGTGCTGGGAACCAAATTGGGTCCTCTGCAAGAGCAGCAAGTGCTTCTAACTGAGCCCCAGCAATTGCATTCTTAGAAAAGATACTGAGATTTGAAATAGCTGTGCTCTTTAAAAAGGACAAAAACTTAACCTTGTGAGTAGCCAAGCTCCTGCTGGTTCCCAACAGTGCCGCACTCTGTGCCTTCTGACTGACAGTGATAACTGGTCAGGAAAGTGCCTATTTAAAGTAAAAGCATTGCTTGGATATTTTCTTTTTCTTTTTTTTAAAGAATTAATAAATACTCCTTCAGTTGAGCATTTTAAAGTTTATTTATTTTTATTTTGTCTGCATATATCTATGTGAGGGTGTTGGGTTCCCTGGGACTGGAATGCTGGGAACTGAAGCCAGATCCTCTGGAGAGTAGTCAGTGCTCTTAACCCTGAGCTGTCTCTCCAGTCCCCCACTTCTTGGATTTTTTTTTTCCTGCTTTTTTGTTTGTTTGTTTTGTTTTTTGAGACAGGGTTTCTCTATGACAGAATCCTGGCTATCTTGGAACTCACTTTCTGGACCAGGCTGGCATCAAACTCACAGAGATCCTCCTGCCTCTGCCTCCTGATTGCTGGGATTAAAGGGATTCCCTACCATACCTGGCCACTTCCTGGATTTTATTGTGAAAAGAAATTGCTCAGTTTGGAGGGAAACATTTAATTATAAACATGCATTAGTTGTTATGATAAACAGTGAATGGATCAATGTGAATGAATAGATTTAATTTTCCTCACAGAATAGTTAGCAAAACACCCCTCAACATGGAATTTATAGCATTAGCAATAAGTCTTTTTCAAAAATATGTGTAAAATATCAAGAGTCAGTTGATGTTTCTGCTGCTTGCTGTGCTAAGAATGATCCGCATCTTTTATTTCTGATCTGGGAGACTCTTAGGTTCTTTGTCAGCATGCAAAGTGTAACTTGACTAACCTAATTGACACTGAGTATGTCATGTGATAAAACATGCAAAATTTACAGGTATCTGTAGCCTCATACCATCACCCAGATTAGGTACCATTTCAAGTTCCACAGAGGACTTTTGGGAGCCCACTCAGGAAGCCAGTGGAAGTCTCTAAAGCATGACGTTAGTTTTGGCTAGTTTTGAGTATTATATAAATGCAATGACATGTTTATTTTTCAATTTTATATCTGAAGTTAAGTCATACTTTGTGTCTGGAGTGATATATTAACGTCACTTGAATTTGTTTCTGTGTTTTGGGGGTTTTACATACTTGGACATATGCCTGTCTCTGGTTCAGAGCATTCATTTATGTTGGACATATACCTGGAAATAGAATTGTTGGTCCATGGGGATCATTGTTTAGCATTAGTGGATGCTGTGAAACAGTTTTCAAAGTGACTGAACTGCAATATAAGGGAATTATCATGAATGTTTAATTACTCCCTCCTTCCTCATATTAAGAGCCCTTTGGGCATAGAACTTGTGGTGGTATAGCTGGGTCAAATGGTAGTTTGATGTTTAATTCTTTAGAAGCCTCTAGTGATTTCCATGTGGCTGTACCGGTTCACATTCCCATCTGCAATGAGCAAGGGTTCTTCCTTCCGCAGTGTTTGTTGATGACAGCCGTTCTGTCTGGGTAGGATAGACTGCCAGGTGATTTAAGTTTGTATTTTCACAATGCGTAAGGATGTGAAACACTTAATCAAACATTTTTTGGCCATCTGTATTTCTTCTTTTGAAAACTGTCTATCATTTCATCAGCACACTATTTGATGGGGTGGTCTTTTTGATGTTACTATTTGTAGCTCATTATTCTAGGCATCACTTGCTGAGTTTATTTCCTGTTGTGTAGTCTCTCTTCACTATGCTGCATGCTACCTTTGCTGTGCAGAGCCTTTTAATCTCACAACATCCCATTGGTCAGCCCTTGGGAATGTTTCCTGTGCTGTTGGAGTCAATTTAAGAAAGTCCACCCTGTGTCTATATCTTGATGAGTATTATCGATGGTTTCCTCTAGCAGTTTTAGAGTTCTGGGTCTTGCTTTAAGATCTTTAATCCATTTTGAATTGATTCTTCTGCTTGATAATATGTAAGTTTTCTGTGCCATTTGATGAAAAACTTTTCTATTTTTGAATATATCATTGGTTGTGCCTGTGTGTGTTTATTTCTGGATCTTGTATTCTACTCCATTAGCCTACATGTCTGTTTCCTGCCAGTATCATACAGATTTTTAGATCCTCTGACTCTATGGTATAGTTTAAGATTGAGTGTTGTGGTACTTCTAGCGTGGCCTTTTCTGCTTAGGGTTGCTTTGATTATTTGGAATCCTTGGCATATTGGTGTGAATTTCAGGATCTTTTTTTTTTCTATTTTTGTGAAGAGTGTCATTAGAATTTTTATGGAGATTGTGTTGTATCTGTAGATTTTTGGGGGCAGTAGGGCAATTTTTGTAGTATCCTGAGACTGTCTATTCAATTTCTTCAGGGTCTTTTTGTTTTTTGGTGGTTTTTTGTTTTTTGTTTGTTTGTTTTTGGTTTTGTTTTGTTGTTCTTGTTGTTTTTTGAGACAGGGTTTCTCTGTGTAGCTTTGGAGGCTGTCCTGGAACTCGCTCTGTAGACCAGGCTTGGTCTCGAACTCACAGAGATCCGCCTGCCTCTGCCTCCTGAGTGCTGGGATTAAAGGCGTGCGCCACCACCACCTGGCTCTTCAGGGTCTTTATAGTTGTACTTTTAGAGATCCTTCACTTTCTTAGTAGGTTTATTCCTTATTTTCTTAAAACTATTGTGAATGATTTCTTTCTCAGCAAGTTTGCTATTGATACAAAGAAAAGGTACTGTTTGTGTGTTGATTTTGTATCCTGCTACTTTACTGGTGGTTTAGAGATACAAACATTTTTCTGATGGAACATTTGGAGTTTCTTAAGTATAGGATTGTGTTATCTGGAAATTGGAACAATTTGACAGGTTTTTATTTGTATTCTTTTCATTCTTTCTCTTGTCTTACTGCTCTGGCTAAGACCTTGAACGTTGTGTGTCATAGAAGGTGGCAAGAATGTCCTCTTGTGTTGCTCTCAGCTCAGAGGAAATGCTCTCAAAATTTCCCAGTTTAATAGAGTGTTGGCTGCAGACCTGCTGTCTTTAGCTTTGTTCTCTTTAAGTGTGTTCAGGCCTTTACTCTGCAGAGATGTTGTACACTGTCAGAGGTCTTTCTTCATCTCTTGAGGTGATTGTGTGTTTTTTGTCCTTAAGTCTTATGTGCTGTGTTACATTTAACACTTAATGATTTGTGTATGTTATTGAATCATGCATCTTGTAATGATACTACATTGCATTATTAATACGTGTTTTTGAATTAGATTTTCAAGAATTGTATTGAAAATTTTTGCCTAATGTTTAGAGATGTTGGTTTATATAGTAGCTTTTGTTTTGTTCTGTTTTTGACTTTTTTGTTAGGCTCTCACCTGGTTTTAGTTTCAGGTAAGGCCTCATATAATGAATGAGCTTGTAGTGTTCCTTCCCATTCTTGTTAAACAGCACATGAAGAAGCTTTTTTTTTTTTTTTTAAGTTGGCTTTCTTTTTCTAAGCATTGTCCTGCTATTTCAGTCTTACTGCTTGTAGTTGGCACTACAGTGATCTACAGGTAACTTTACCCATTGTTAGTACTAAAGCACCACGGCCCAGAGCTTCCTCTTGCTGTTTCCAAGGGCTTCTTGATAGAGCATCTTCCTTAGCTAACATGCTTAAATGTAGAAGCCAATTACCACTATAAGATACAAACCGACATTTTGAGGAATTGAATAACATTTATTGTGTATCTCTTCTGCACTCTTCATTCTAAAAAAGTTGACACTTTCCTGGTAGTGATGTGTGTTAGGCTGTGTTTGATAGTTTCATACATCTTGTGACCTTTTTACTTTGTTTTTGTTTTTCAAGACAGGGTTTCCCTGTGTAGCCTTGGCTGTCCTGAAACTCAGTCTGTAGATCAGGCGGGTCTTGAACTCAGAGATCAGTTTGCCTCTGCCTTCTGAGTGCTGATGACAACTCTTATTTGGCTTCTTTCTGTCTTAGATGACTCTTGCAACCTTTTACTTTACTGCTGAGCTATTTGTGTTCTGAACAAGGGAGTGCATGGCTACAGGAAGTGTAGAGCTGTTTTTATTTTCTGGCTTTATGCCTTTTGTCTTACTTTGAATGCTTTTCTACTTTTATTTATGATAACAAACACACTTTTCAGTTATGTTGATTAGTGTTCTTAGATTGAATTAGACTCTTCTCCGCCTCTCTTTCAGGACTTGACGGAATGAAAGAAGCTTATGGCACCTGTAAAGTTAAATGTCTCTCCTCCTCTCCACTCGGGCCTTCCGCTGGAGACCTGCCTGTGACTTTGCACCTGTGATCCACGCTTTTCCTATCCACTGACTTTGGTTACAGGAAAGCCTCTGAAGATTCCTATCAAATGACGTCAATGGCCAGCTTGTTTTCTTTCACTAGTCCAGCCGTGAAGCGATTGTTGGGCTGGAAACAAGGTGACGAGGAAGAAAAATGGGCAGAAAAGGCCGTGGATGCTTTAGTGAAAAAGCTGAAGAAGAAGAAGGGCGCCATGGAGGAGCTGGAAAAGGCCCTGAGCAGCCCGGGACAGCCGAGCAAGTGCGTCACCATCCCCCGGTCCTTGGATGGGCGCCTACAGGTCTCTCACAGGAAAGGCTTACCCCATGTCATCTACTGTCGTGTTTGGCGTTGGCCAGATTTACAGAGTCATCATGAGCTAAAGCCATTGGATATTTGTGAATTTCCTTTTGGATCTAAGCAAAAGGAAGTTTGTATCAATCCGTACCACTATAAGAGAGTGGAAAGTCCAGGTAAGTTTTGCTCAACTGAGAAAAATTAAGAGCAAACAAACAAAAAGCCATCATGTCTCTCTGATTTGCATATAACTAGGCTTATTACATCAGCCTTTGTTAAAGATTTCATCTTAGGAGGAATATTACCGTTTTTTTTTGTTTGTTTGTTTTTTTTTTGTTTTGTTTTTGTTTTTCGAGACAGGGTTTCTCTGTAGCTTTGGAGGCTGTCCTGGAACTCACTTTGTAGACCAGGCTGGCCTCAAACTCACAGAGATCCGCCTGCCTCTGCCTCCCGAGTGCTGGGATTAAAGGCGTGCGCCACCAACGCCTGGCGGAATATTACGTTTTAAAGTTCACTCTTTTAAGCATTAAAGCTCTTGATTGGCTGTCAGAACTCACTGTCTCTAATAACACCCAGTGCTTTTTTGTGGCCGACATCTCTGCCATGCTAAGCACATGTTCCATGTTTACTGGAGATCCTGCTCCCTTCTGTTTATTTGGGAACTTCGTTGTCAGCATATCAACTATTTTTCTGGCTTTACATTTTCCCTATCTACAAGAGTCTGTTGATTTCATTAAATTACGTTTACTTTTTGCTTGTGTGGTGTGTGTGTGTGTGTGTGTGTGATGTTATGTGCATGTATGTGTGTGTGTATTAGTGTATCACACACAGCTCATGTGGAGATCACATGACAACTTTGGGAGTCAGGAAGTCTTTCCTTGATGTTACTCATTATTCATTTTTCAATGCCTAAGATAATACTCTTTACTAGTGGTTAGTAGGTATAGTGGTCAGTATTTTTTAGTTGTTACTGTTGCTTTTGTTTTAGTGAATGAGTTATGTAAGCTGATGTCTTAGTCCTTTTATTGCTGCTAAAGCAGAATACCACAGACTGGATAAGTTCATTCTACTGAGAAGAATTTAAAACAAAACCAACATGTATCTCTTTAATTTGCACATTACTAGGTTTATTAGCTAAAAGGTTACATTAGCCATAGTAGACGTCCTGGAGTATAGAAAGTCCAGGGTTAACTGTGGCACAGAAGAGCACATGGGTGTGAGCAATGGAGAGGATAGAGGAGGCGATAATGTATATAGGGAAGCTTAGTTGTTAGGGGGAGGCAATAACACATATAAGGAAGCCTAGTTCTGTTAGGGGGAGGTGATAATGTATATAGGGAAGCCTAGTTCTGTTAGGGGGAGGCAATAACACATATAAGGAAGCCTAGTTCTGTTAGGGGGAGGTGATAATGTATATAGGGAAGCCTAGTTCTGTTAGGGGGAGGCAATAACACATATAAGGAAGCCTAGTTCTATTAGGGGGAAGGCAATAACACATATAGGGAAGCCTAGTTCTGTTAGAGGGGGGCGATAATGTATATAGGGAAGCCTAGTTGTTAGGGGGAGGCAATAACATATATAGGGAAGCCTAGTTCTGTTGGGGGAAGCAATAACACATATAAGGAAGCCTAGTTCTGTTAGGGGGAGGCAATAACACATAAGGAAGCCTAGTTCTGTTTTTCCTTGGTGCCAGGGATGAAAACCAGAGTCTGTGCATTTTAGGTGAGTGCTCTACCATGGAGCTGCACCCCAGCCTAAGCAATCTGTTGATGTAAAAACAAGCCCGCCTCTACAGGGATACAGGCTCATCACCTTTTGTAGGCCCCACCTCCTAGTACTGTCATATTGGGAATTAAGTTCTAGCCCATGAACTTTGTAAGATTTCCCACAGCAGTTATCTGTTGCTACACAATAAGTAGCCACATGTGTGGTAGTGTAAGCGTGGCACACATTTATCACCCTATAGTTTCTGGGGGTTGGACATCTAGTCCCCATCAGCAGGGTCTTTTGTGAGTTTCTCATCAAGGTGTCTGTCATGTCTGGGTTCTTCTGGAAGTTGAGATAGGTAAGGGGCTATTTCAAGCTCGCTGTGATACTAACAAGATTTAGCTCCTGCACAGGCCTCTTGCTGACTGTCAGCTGCATGCTGCCTTCACTCGCTTCCTGTGTGGCCTGCCTTCTTCCTCAGTAGTTCACCTGTGTGTGTGTGTGTGTGTGTGTGTGTGTGTGTGTGTGTGTGTGTGTGTGTGTGTGTGTGTTCTTATGCAGTCACTTCCTCTCACAGGGTTACATTTTCTCTCTCTGCCAGACTATTTCTGAGAGCATGCATGACTGTTATGGTGCTGTGTCTTCTTCAGAGCCAGTAAGGGCATTTTCCTGCAAGAGGGTATTGAATTCTTAGGGAGCATGACTACACACAGCCCAAACTTTTGCCATAATTCTGTTGGTTAGGAACCAGTCCTCAGTCATATGCTGAAGGGAGAGCGTTATCCGAGCACATGAGTACCTCGAGTGTCTTCCCCACTAGAGGGATTGTAAGCCTGATGTGTTTGAGTGTAGAAACCTACATTGTTACAGTTCAACCATGAGACGCTGGCTCATATTTGAGGAGAGCCCAAGGAGAGCAGTAGCGTAAGGGAATCAGGGAAGAAGAGAGTAAGGCAGACTAATGGAGGAATGTCGTCTTCAAACAAACGAGGTATTTGCTAGCAATACATCTAAGAACTTTGTGTGTTCCTTCCCATAGTCAGGGTGTAATGGACATTGCCAGCAGGATATTCTTCTTTTAGCTACTTTACCATTTTGTATGAATGACAGGAGCAGTTATGATACTTGAATACAACTTCAGAAATACCTCGCTAGTTCAGCTGCTGTGAAGAAGCTGTAGAACCCTTGTGCATGGTCCCAAGTCCACGCATCCCAGGGGAAGGGGCAGCTTTGCTCAGGAGTAACCAGTGCGCCTCCTTGACCAAGCAGTCAGGAGAGTAGATGCCTTGCCTACTGGCACTGTGCTAATACAGGGGTAATGGTGATTCTGGTGACAGTGAACAGTTTTGAGCACTCACGGGCAGAAGCGCTACAAGACAGAAAGCCCTGACTCTTCCTGGCATTTGAAGTGTGCTAGCTGTGTAGACAAAGGAGCTAGTCTTACCACACACAGAGCACACAGGACGTGTAATGGAATGAGAAAGAGCTGCAGGAAGAACAAGATGGAGGTGTAATGAGCATAGGAACCAAGTCAGCCTGAGTGGTCCAGGGTTTATTGACTAGAAATTATTATGTGGGCTAAGATTGTGAGTTCTGGAGTCGTGATTTTACTATGTAGTTATTACCTGTACCATCAGGCAGGCTACAGAATCTCCCTGTGATTTAGTGTTGGTGTGTATGTAAATGCTTACTTAAAACATTATGTTGTCCCAGTCAGTTTCCAGTCAAGGGTCATTTCTCCAGATGGATCTGTCTGTTCTGGAAATAGAGCCCATAAGGAGTGGACAGAGGAAGCATCCCAACAAACACCACTACAGCTACTTAGAACTGAAAACTGTAAGAGTCAAGTGACCAAGTAGTTAGAATAAAGGACTAAGAGGACTACTGACGGAGCTTTCATTCTGAAAGTTTCCAGAAAGAAAATTCGGGGCACATAAAAGAAAAAACAAGAAACAAAAAACAAACAAACAGACAAAACTCAGAGATCTAAATTATTGTATTTCTTAGTGCAATTCTAGATCCTAGAAGAAAAGAAAGTAAAACCCAGAAGGAAACTATGCCCTGGGTTCCTGAATACAGAGAAATGAAAGGGGAGATAACTTCATAGTGTCTGCCGTTTCTTTCTTAGGAAGCAAGTTGCAGGTATAGTCAGGGAGAGGGGACCAAACCAGAGAAACATCCTAAACAGTAACTAGGACAGACCAGAGTAAAGGACACAGGAAGTCCATAGTAATTTTATTTATAACATGTGACAGATAGATGAGTTAGGATACTGGAAATATTAGTGGCATGTACTTAAAGTTAAGGAAATAGTTTATTAAAAAACATTGCTCAGGAGGAAAATGCACAATATACTTGGCTCTACAATGGATTTTATATGTATATTTTAGGTATATATAGCATGTGGGTATGAGTGTGTGTAATACATATATATGTAATAAACACTAGATACCAACTGAACCCAAATTTTAAAAAATACATGTTTATGTGAAGGGGTGTTTTGCTTGCATCCTGTGTGCCTGGTGCCTGAGGAAGCCAGAAGAGAGCATCAGATCCTCTAAAAGTAAGAACCAAATGTAGGTTCTCTTATAGACAACCAGTGCTCTTAACTGCTGAGTTGTCTCTCCAGCCTCTTAACCCAGTTTTCAATATATTAGGGAAATAGAAAGGGCTAGAGTAATATAAGAAAGATACCTCAGCCAGTAGTCGTAGCACTTGGGAGACTGTGGGAGAAAGATTACTGTGCTTGAGTCTAGCCTGTGCAACAAAGGACCTCGTTTCAATCCCCTCCCCCACCAACAGAAACGGTTGCTTCATTTGCCATAAGAGCAAGCCTATAAATGATGTCATAGGTCAGTAATATCAGTATAGCATATTGTTTAACAATACAGAATCTTGCCATCTCTTACTAAATATGCTGAGTACAGTCTTGACTCTTTAAGTTTCCACATATTTATGTGAAAATAAAAATAATAAGCATTTGCATAGATAGTATATAAATGAGAGGGAAAGCAGGGATTATAACTATGCCTTCAAAAATACCTTGACTGAACTGAATTCTTTAGTTATTTTGCTGTCTTTCAGATTGCTAGATAACTAAACATAAATCCTTACTGTTTTCTGTTCTATTTTTCAATGGAATTGCCTCATCTTTCTCTAGCATTAGCAATTATTAACATATAATAGCGCAAAATAATGGTTGTCGTTACTTGCTTACTATACTAATTTGGTAAAATTAAAATCGCAGCACAAAACCCTGACCAGGATCCTCTGGTTCCTTGTGTGTGTCCATTGTTACTTCAGGGAGGGGAAGTGTGACCTGGTTGACATAGATACTTGATTTTGTTGGTGCTGCATGGTACCAGAATCAAATTGAGTTCTGTTTTTGTTTCCTTTGTTTCTGAAGTGGAGTTATCCTGACAACTAAAAGAAAGTTGTAAAAGAGAGAGTTGGTATATTTAGTTTCCTACAGGGGAAATACAGCTACTAGTCATTGTAGTTGAGGTCTTTTAGAGAAAGTACTCACTAAACTCCAAGAGGTTTGTACATGTGTCCTTGTGGTCATATTTAGAGGACTGTGGAGGGTTGTCGTTGGTGGAGGGCAACCATACCAGTCCTCCAAATGCTAACCGTGAGCTCTCTTGACAGTTGGGAATGCTCTGTTCCCAGGGTACCACACTGGCCTCAACTTCCCTCCCTAATCTTAGCCTCTGTCTAGATCAGTGCCTAGGCCACTGTTTCCTCCTCCTGTGAAATCCTCTTGGTCTGTTTGGTTCCCTATTGTCTGGGCATGCTCATTTCTTGAATTCTCATTAATTACATTAAATGCTACTTCTTATGGCTGCTCTTAAAATGGTTTGCATGGAGAATGGCACCCTTTCTGAATTTCTGCTTCAGAGTCCATGCAGGCTAAATGCTGAAGGGCTGTGGTTTAGTTCTGATGTAAATACAAATTCAGATTCCACAAAATAGCCTCCCCAACAGTAAGCGTTAGCCACAGCTTTTGTGAGTCTTTCCCACCAGCCCCTTCAGGGCTCCTGACTGACTGACTTCTATTTTTCTTTCAGTCTTACCTCCAGTGTTAGTGCCTCGCCACAACGAGTTCAACCCACAACACAGCCTTCTGGTTCAGTTTAGGAACCTGAGCCACAATGAACCACACATGCCACACAACGCCACGTTTCCAGATTCTTTCCAGCAGCCCAGCAGCACCCCGTTCCCCTTGTCTCCTAACAGCCCCTACCCCCCTTCCCCCGCCAGCAGCACATACCCCAGCTCCCCAGCAAGCTCTGCACCAGGAAGCCCGTTTCAGCTCCCAGGTAAGACTTCACTGGGGTCTCTGCAAATGCAAGTTGTTGTGAGTGTTGTTCTTCTCAGTGAGCTTGTGTTGATGACATTTCCTTTAAGAATTTATTTCCACAAGAACTAGAGTTTATTTTTCAAGTTCCACTAGAGTGAAATACCCGTTATTGCTGTTCAAGTGAACTTTGAAGGAACATGGTTTTAAATGACCCCGAAGTATGTGATGATGAGAGTAATTAAATATACCTGTTGTAGTGTGTGCCCTGGGTGATCTGTGACCCCAGGTTGCTGTGCAGTGGCTGCAGTGTCTTTGAACATAGACGTCTTTAAAACAAGGAAAAAGTCTTGACCTTGGGTTCCGTTTCAGTGTTGACCCTGAATCAGCCAGGGTCTAAGTAAATGCAGGCTTGTAGTAGGTGTGCAGATGTTGTATGTGCTGTCTTTTCTGTTATACTCTTGTCCAGTGTGTGCAATGTTCAGTAATGAATCCTGCTGATAACCTTGTGAGTTTACAAATGCTTCTAGAGTAATAGCTTTAAGCAGATCGAAGGCCATATTCTTTGAGGAGTGACTGTCTCATTCTCTCTCTGTTAGCTGATACACCTCCTCCTGCCTATATGCCACCCGATGATCAGATGGGTCAAGATAACTCCCAGCCTATGGATACAAGCAATAACATGATTCCTCAGATCATGCCCAGCATATCCAGCCGAGGTGAGAAGAATGCTCACGTTTTCTTTTGTCGGTACTATTTTTACTTCTTTTACCTTCTTGGCTACTTTACTTTTTTTCTTTGCAGTGCTAGGACTCCAATCCAGGGCCCTCCTACTCTAGGTTAATCATCTCCCACTGAGTTACTTTCCTGACTTTGGTCACTTGTGCAAACACCTTGAATAGAGTACGGCTGTAAAATCAACTGCATATGCAACCAGTGCCTGTGAGGTTCTGGTTCAAAGTGTAGTTTAAAACACCGCTGTACCCTTCCCAGGAGACTTCCCCCCCATCCTGGGCTCAGCATACCTGTGTTCGTACACAGATGTTTTTCTGAGTGTTGCATAAAAATGGAGCATGGGGACAGTGAGATGGGTTAGTGGGTAAGCACACTTGCTGCCAACCCTGATGACCAAGATTGGTGACCTGGGTTTGTTTACCGGGAGCCACATGGTAAATAGATGTAATAGAATAAGTAGAGTTGTATATAATCCTTTAAAAGATTTATTTTTGTTTTATGTGTGTGTTTTCTGCATGGATGTATGTGTACCATGTGCATGTCTGCGGAGGCCAGAAGGTATCAGATCCCCTGGAACTGGAGTCACAGTTGTGAGCTACAGTGTGGGTGTTGGGAACTGAGCCCAGGTCCTCCAGAACAGTGAGCAGTCTAAGCCACTGAGCCATTTCTGCAGCTTCCATGTTGAATCACTTACACAGTGTTTTCAAGGTGACCTTGGTTGTAGCGGTAGTCAGCAGACACTTGACCTATTTGTAGTTTTGATGAGTGTGCTGAGTAGCGGCACTCTTAGGAACGTGGTGTGTGGACATTGTTTCCTTTCCTCTCTTGGGTAGATGTCTATGAGCAGATTCTGGAAGTGAACCATCCACCCCTACCCCTTGTTGTGTTGTGATTTAACCCTGGTTACAGTGGGTGACAGTATATTAATGGTTTACATGAAGAAATCATGTTCTGGATTAGTTTTTCTCTATTTAATTGGCATTTTATTAAAAATCTTATTGTGAATTTGAAGGTTTGTTTAGAGACTATTAATTTTGTTAATTGGTCTTTATAACTATAGTTGGTAGTATTGGTTACTAAATTTTATAGTAAAGATTTTGTATCCAATTTTTTTTATCATGGCAAAATGCTCATAGCATAAACTTTTACCATCTTACTACTTGTATGTCCACATGGGTTCAGTGACATTAGTCACATTCTCATTACTGCTCCATTGACGTCATCATTCAGTACCATTCTACCTTGTGAAACTGAAATTCTGTCCCCATTAAATAAGTCCTTATAGTCACTCGACCCCTTACCCTTGGTCACCACCACTGTGCTGTCCCTCTGTATAATTTTGATTACTCTTAGGAACCTCATGTAAGTAGAGCCGTACAATACCTGCTTGTAATGACTAGCTTATTTCACGTAGCTCAGTACCCTTGAGGCCTGTGTGTGTTGTGCATTTGTCAGAGTGTCGCTCCTTAGGTGAACAGTGCTCTCTCGTGTATTTTCCCACTCTGCTGTGTAGGCTGCAGCCATCATGCTCAGAGGCTGCTCGGTTACAGTGCTCAAGTTATGTGTGTCCTTGCCTGTTTTCTTTCTAAAGTTAAAAGATTGAAGTCTGAAGCAGTACCTGTTTCTACTTTCTACTCTTTTGATAGTTGCGTCATATATTTAGGGACTCTTGTCAAAACATACAATTCAGTAATATTAAATACATCCAGCATTATGTAGCTCTGGTCACCGTTTCCAGAGCCTGTCATCTCCTAAGCAAACTCTGTGCCCGTTAAAGATCTCTCCATTTTCCCTCCTGGTCAACAGCAGTCTACTTCCTGTCTGACTTCACCTGTCCTGGGTGTCTGGTCTAGGTGGACTCTCCGGTGTCCAGTACTTGCCTGTCCTCTGTGTCTTGTCTCTTTCTGTTAGTGTGGCATTTCCAAGGATTCCAAGTACATGTTCAAATCTCATTCCCTATTAGGGCTGAATGACATGTATATGTTTGTTTCTCCATTTATCTATTTATGAATATTTTTGACTGTTGCACAGCAGAGACTGTTGCTTGGGTCTCTTTGTACAGTCCATCTGTTTGAGTGTTGTATGTACTTGGGAGTAGAATTGCTGTGTTACATACTAATCATGTTTGACTTTAGAAACCCCCAAACTCTGCTCAGAGCTGCCGCTGTCTCAGTGATGCTGCATAGGTTCCCGAGTTCTCCACTTCGTCACGAGTTTGCTTTCTGTTGTTTGTGCCATTGTCCTTGCTCTCCTCATCCCCTGCTAGTGGCTGTTGTAATGCCTGGGCGGTGTGCTGTATTACTATAGGATGCTTTGATTGACAAACAAGAAATAGTAAGATCCTATACTGTCATTTTAGGGTTAGGGAGATGTCTCTGAGTAAAGCCTTGCTGTGCCAGTGTGAGGACCTGAGTTCAGATCCCAAGCATCCACATAAAAGACAGGCGCATAGCACACCTGTAATCCCAGTGCTCCTCCAGGGGAAGGAATTGGAGACAGAAGACTCCCAGGAAGTTTGAGAGCCAGCTGGGCTTCCAAAGCAAGTAGCAAACATTAAAGAGCCCCTGTCCCCAAAGAAGGTGGAAGGCAAGGATCAGCCTCAATTCTTGATGTTGTTCCTGTCATTCGCACATGCACTACAGCATGCCACAAGTTAAAGTACAAGATGCTGCTATTTACACTGTTTTGTTCTATTTTTTAGACAGGGTTTCTCTCTATTGTTTTGGAGGCTGTCCTGGAACTCGCTCTGTAGACCAGGCTGGCCTCGAACTCACAGAGATCCGCCTGCCTCTGCCTCCCAAGTGCTGGGATTAAAGGCGTGTGCCACCAACACCCAGCGACCCTCACTTAGTTCTTTAATTCATCTTTTTGTTTAGAATAGTGTTACAGATACTTAATAGTTAAGTAGTTTTAGTTGCTGGAAAAGAATTTTATTTGAGTAGTTTAAGCCTGTGTTAGTTATTGCAGACCTATTTCAGAGGTGCTGTTGTGACTGTATTTGGAGTTGTGTCTTTCACAAATTGTGTATGGCACCCCTGAGTGCCAGTGTGGTTGTATGTGGAAATGTGGTCTTTGGGGGCAATCGGGTCTAAATGAGGTCGTAAGGATGGGGTCCTCCTGATGAGGTGAGTGCCTTTACAAGAAGAGGACACCCTTGTTCTCTCTCTGTCCTCGAGCACAAACCAAGGAAAGGATGTGCTGGCAAACAGCAGGAGGAGAGCTGTCTACGGACCGGGACGTGACCCTCATTACATACTGAAGCCACTGCACCTTGACTTTGAGAAACAGACTTCTGTTGCTTGCATCACTCCCTCAGTGGTGTTCCTAGAGCATCCGACACCACCTGAGACAGAAGCTGTAGCTAGAATGATGTGGTGCTGTGTTTAGCTATCTAAAAATGAGGGTGTGGTTTTGGATCAGGAGAGGCTGGGGAAGAGCTAGTTTGGTGACCAATAAGGAGTGGAGAGCCCTGCATCCCCTGGGAACACATTCTCTACACGTTAAGAGTCCAGTGCTGAGGGTGATGCTTCTGCACCTTCCAACCTGAATGAGGCCCACCGGTGACGGTGGCAGGAAACGGGCTTCCTTGTAGCAGATCGTCATCGTGGTTGGATTGTGTTGGGCTCTAGTGTTTGTGTAATGTAGAACTTTAAAGATGCAAAATCAGTTATTTAGCTGTAGATATTCTTAAGCTAAGTAGTAAAATATGACAAGAAAGATTAAAAAGGGAATGATTACTTTAAAAAGGACTTAAGATTTCAGAGTTATTTTTCATCTCATACACATTGTAAATACTAGTTTGTGTTTGGAGAGAAACTAAAGATTTTGTTCACATTTGATAGTGATATTACTACGGGTATGAAGTATGGACCTGATCGGTCCCCTCCATCAGGAACAGAGTTAATTTGACTTGAGAGGACAGAGATGGATCAGGAGTAAGAAGGCTGTTAGGCTTTTACAAGTCAGCACACTTAAGCTATTTGGTTGTAAGCACAAAGAGGGTGATTGTTTCATCAGGTTGGATGAACTAATGGGTGAGGACACTTAGTCTACAGCTCTCTACGGTGCAGAACTTAATGCACAGCTCAGCCACGTTGTAGTTGAAGAGGCATTTTTCCTTGAGAAATTTTCTCTAGATTAACTATGGGCCTTACAGTTTTGCTGGTATGAATTAAGTCTCTGGGAACTTGGGAGGTGGGATTTATGTGTTCTTTGCATGTGAGATAGTAAAGGACCTAATTGCTAGTCCCTCCAACTCTCAGTATAATTCTATTTAGAGATAGGGCCTTTAAAAGGCTGTTAGGGATAAATAAACCCCTGAGATTAGGGTCTTTAAGATAGAGTTACTTGTCCTTACATAATTAGACACAGAGGTCAGGGAGATGGCTCCGCGGGTAAAAGCACTTTCTTGGGCAAGCCTAATGACTTGGTTTCAGATCCCTGGAATCACCGTACCAAAAACTCTAGCATGTCTCTGTGATCCCAGCACTTCTCCAGTGAGGTAGGAAGTGGATGCAAGAGACCCTGCCTCAAAACAGTGGGAGGAAGGCAAGAAGCACATGTGTGTGTGCACGTGAGTATACGTGTACACATGCGTGCGCGCGCACACACACACACACACAGAGTATGCTCTGAGGTAAGGCCTTAGGAGCACACAGCAAGAGGGCAGCTCTCTCTGTTTATAAGCCAGGAAGTGAGTCTCCGCTAGACAGCACATCTGCTGACACCTGATATCTGAGCCTCTAGAGTAAACTGAGAAATAATTGTGTTGGTTTTGTTATTGTTGTTTTGTTTTGAATTTAAGCCAGTCAGACTTGGTGTTTTATTATAACTATCTGGGCAGGCCACAATGAGTTGCCTTGGACTCTAATGCAAGAATGTCAGTGAAATTTAAATGAAGTACCTGTTTTCTCTGTGATATAATGCTCGGCTAGACCAAAGGGTAAATGAATATTCAGAGATGCTGGTGGGCCAGATAATCAGTCCCTCAACTTCTTCTCTGCTTGCAGATGTACAGCCGGTTGCCTATGAAGAGCCCAAGCACTGGTGTTCAATTGTCTACTATGAACTAAACAACCGTGTTGGGGAAGCGTTCCATGCATCTTCTACTAGCGTGTTAGTAGACGGATTCACAGACCCTTCAAATAACAAAAGTAGATTCTGCTTGGGATTGTTGTCAAATGTTAATCGTAATTCAACTATTGAAAATACTAGGCGACATATTGGAAAAGGTAATCTTGTCACTTCTTTTCATTCAGTTGAACTAAGTCCCTTTTTTTTCTGACTCAGTACAATTCATTGCAGAAGGTACTGGAAACATCCAAAAAATCCTAAGGCATGGCTTTTACCTCAAGTTGCAGATATTAAAGGATGTGATCAAATAAAGACACGACAGTCTTTCTTCTTTATTCTGCTTAGTTTTTGTTTTTAGTACTGAAGATTGAAGACCTCTTGTCAGCTTCTTCAATATTTACCCTAACAGTTCAGGCAGATTAAGTCAGGGCCTAACTGGAATGTAAGAGACACAAGAATTCACCTTGTTCACAGCAGTGTCCTCAGGAGCTACAACAATGCTTAGCCTATAACATATTTTTTTAAAAAAATCTATGCATGGTGAAGGGTTAGAAATTTAGCATTGCTGCATTTGGGATGTTTTCTATTCTGAGATTAGTACAGTATTGGGGAAGTGGAGTCTGAGGCAGAAGTAGAGGGAGAGCATTGAGAAACCTCATTCACTAGAGTTCACCTATAATCTGTCCAGGAATGCACTTGCAGAAAAGTGCAGTGCTTTGCACACTGCGTGGAATTCGAGTGTCACACACAGAGAGGCCACCTCAGCTTTGCATGGCTCTCGAACAGTTTTGCTTTTACATCCCTGCTGCTCTGTGCCGCTTTGACTTGAGTGTTAGTCAAAGATAGTAAAAATGGCAGATTATAATTGTGATAGGCTTTCTTATAGAAGAGTCAGAAAAATGGGCTGAAGCCGGGTGAAGTAGCTCACACCTCTAGTCCCAGTACTTGGGAGGCTAAGGCCGGTGGGTCCCAAGTTGAAAGCCATCCTGGACTGTATAGTAAGATTGTCTAACAAAAAAAAAAAAAAAAAAAACAGGCAAAACAAAAAAAAATCCAAAATGTTTTTGAACAGTTTCTAGTGATTTCATTGTCAACTTGTCCTGACCTCTTTTGTGAAATGTTTTTCTTTTGTGGGTTTATCTTCTAGTCCTCTCCTGCTACAGTGAAGATAATTTAAGAGTATCTCTTTGGTCATTGCTAAGATCAGTTTCCCCTTATTGACCAGTATTCCCAGTCTGCAGTCTTTTGAACCTGCTCCATTTCTGTTTACTCAGAAGCAAACCCCAGCTTTTAATACCATATATTGACACAGTTCTGTTACTTATATTTGGGCAGAGATTTGCATATATGGAGCTCTTGCTAAAAGACACTGTGTATAGTCACCGACAGTAATGGAAACTTGTCTGTTGAGGGTGGTCAGTATGGTCTTGTCATCTAGAACATGGCAGTGGGCAGCGTGCTGTCCTGTGAGTGAGGCAAGAACAATGGTGACTTATTTAAAAATAAATCAAAGTTTCCACCCACAGACACACACAAACATACCATATAGGAACATACTTAACCTGTGACAAGGGTTAAAAAGATGTACACCAAATTCAGAGCAGTGTCTGCTTATTGGGCTGGAAAACTTGAGGTAATTCTTAGATATACTGGAAAAGTATTTGGTGGGTGAGTTAGCGTTTTAGTAGTTTAGCTTAAATTTTACTATTAGAACTGCTGTCTCATAGCATTTAAAAGCGTATTTGTAGAAAACTTTTAAAAAGTTGTGTTATTTTGTGTGTATAGGCATTTTACCTATGGGTATGTCTGCACTACATGCATACAGTGCCCTTAGGCCATACGGAGAGGGATCTCCTGAGACGAGAGTTATAGATGTTTGTGAGCCTCCATGTGGGTGCTGGGATCCAGCATGGGTCTTCTGCAAGACCAGCCATTCACTGAGCCTTTGCTCCAGTTCCAAGGAGGGAGGGAGGGAAGGCAGAAAGAAAAATGAGTCTGCCATTTCAAAGCGCTTTCTGTAATCTGAAGTCATATGTGTGCATGGACCTCTGGGTGATGGTTGAAATGCTGTGATCCTCTTTGCTGGCAAGCAATGGAAAACTTCACTAACTTTTATGATGATCGATAACTCCAGGTAACCCTTTGAAAGCACTCATAGAATGAATTTTTAAAGAGCATCTTTTCTTTGGTAGAGAAACAAAGATGGTTGGAAGAGCAAACATGAACTGAGAGCAGGCTCCTTAATCACCCTGCCAGTTGCGGCCCAAGGATCGGTTAGAGTTAGGCTGATTATTTTTGGCTACGGCAGGCCATCTAGTGGTGATCGTTGGCATTTGCTGTGCATCTCTGGGTTCTGTGGTTGCGCCACACGCATGTCTGGCTCCTTTCAGTGCTTGGCTAAGCCTTCCTTTCTCCGTGCTTCTCTCCAAGGTGTCCATCTGTACTACGTTGGTGGGGAGGTGTATGCCGAGTGCCTTAGTGACAGCAGCATCTTTGTGCAGAGCAGGAACTGCAACTTCCACCATGGCTTCCACCCCACCACTGTCTGTAAGATCCCCAGTAGCTGCAGCCTCAAGATTTTCAACAATCAGGAGTTTGCCCAGCTTCTGGCTCAGTCTGTCAACCATGGGTTTGAGGCTGTGTATGAGCTCACCAAAATGTGCACCATTCGCATGAGTTTTGTCAAGGTGAGTGGTTTGATCCATAATATATAAAAAATTATTAGATGAAGATAATCACTACTTTTGACCCAATTTGTTGTATTTTAAATGAAATTCTTAAATTTAACATTTTAACCAGATGACAGACTATTTAATTTTGTAATCTACACATAAAATCCTTGATAATTTTGTTATTGGGTAAGGATTTTAAAATATTTCAGCTAGGAGACTAAATTCTTGGAAAACATTTAATATTGAAATTACATTTTGAGTGCCTCAGACTCCATCACAGTGACTTGGGAGACTTAACTATAGTACTAACTTGCTTTACAGTGACCCCGCCCTGTCCGGAGGATTTATAAAGCCTGTCACTTACTTTGTTTTGGTTTTTAGAGACAGGGTTTCTCTGTGCAGCCCTGGCTGTTCTGGAACTCACTCTGTAGACCAGGCTGGCCTCAAACTCAGAGATCTTCCTGCCTCTGCCTCCTGAGTGCTGAGATTAAAGGTGTGCACCACCATCACCTGGCAAGAATGACACTATCACTTCAGCCTGCTTTTATTGAACACTTCATAGATTGTATCTCATTAACAAAATGTTGAAAAAATCATAGTGGTAGAATTGTGCAGTCGGAGCTTGCGTCCCCGCCTCCCCTTCGCTTCACCACTCCCCCCCCCCCCACCCTGGACGGTTAGTTATGGAAGAGCATCAGCTCATGTGAGGGCGAGTCTGTCTGCTTGCTTATTTTTTTTTTTTTTGACATTTAATCCCAGTCCATTGTTTTTTTTGCTTATCAATTATCTGAATTTACTTTATCTTCCCTCTTTTGAAATATGGCTTTTTTTTTTCTATTTATTCTCCAGTTCCTCTGCCTGCACACTTCTCTTCTCTGTATTCCCCCTAGTCTCCCTGAGGCAAGGACTAATCAGAAAGACAGAACTTGATAAATCAGGAAGTCAAAAGTAAAAAATGTATATATTTCAGTTTTTATCTGGAGCTTACTTTATCTTATTAATTTCTCCTTTAAGGATAATGGCTTAATGTGACTACTACAGAAAATAAAAAACAACAAGAGTAGCCCCCTCTAAAAAACTTGTGAAAGATCATAGTCTGTGGCCTTTGTAAAATTTAAAAACATTCTGAAATAGATATATTTGGCCCCGTCAGAAATTCTGTTATTTATTAAAACTTTATAGCTTTGAATAATGTAACTATTTTCTTAGTATCATGGTGACTGGTTTTCTGTAGTTGTTCAGTTTAAGTATGTTTTTTGTGTTTTTACACTTGAGCTTTTTATTGTTATAGTTGGTGTAGACTGTTAACTGTTGAAGAGGCATTTGATTTGCTTTCTGTTCATTTTCAGGGCTGGGGAGCAGAGTACCATCGACAGGATGTTACTAGTACTCCATGCTGGATTGAGATTCACCTCCATGGGCCTCTTCAGTGGCTAGATAAAGTCCTTACTCAGATGGGCTCTCCTCTCAACCCCATTTCTTCTGTTTCATAGTGCAGAAGTATTCTTTTCACCTGTATCTTTAGTGGACTTGTTTTAATTTTAGAGGAATTTCCAGGACAGACACTGTGAGCTGACATGGGAAACAGATATCATGGATTATTTTTTCTACATAATTGTGACCAACACATTTGTATTTTGTGATGAATTTCCATTTGTTTGTATTCATGTTTGTTGTGATTAACTTTCAAAAGTATTGTAAACAATGTAGAGTATTTTGCCCCCTTTGAGACGTTTGGCATTGATCTTAAACTGGAAGATGCTCATGTTCATTGTCCCAACAGTTTTTTCATTTGTTAATTTGTTACAAAGTAGCGCATCACATAATGAAGATTTATCTTGTAAGAGGGCAAAAACACACAAAAAATGCTAGATGCTATGTTTCTAGTAATTTCTTTGTCCTACCACCTTTGATAAAGCATAGTACATTGTTTTGCAAAGACATGGTAGGGGCTTAAAGGAAACTGTTGACTCTGTTGTTTGAAGGACACTGTGCACTCCTAACGTGCCATTCAGTGAAAGCAAGGTGGTGGATTTCCAGATGTCATACAGTGACATTTAATATAGCTAAGTGTTTGTCAGTGTAATGTGACTTTGTGATATATATCATTTGTAAAACATTTCCTTTTTAAATATCTCTATTATATGTCATTTACTCAAGTTTGTCATAAGTTTTACTTAACAATTACAATGTGCATGGCCTTGTTCAGCTGTGTTTGCTGCTTTGGGCCAGTGTTTCAAGAACTCTAATTTTGATGTGCATTAATCTTTTCATTTTGCACTTTTATGGGTGACAGGTTTAGTTTAACCCTGATAACACACAGTCAGGTGATCTGGTCTTAGATCTTTTCTCTCCCCCCTTGACACTCCCTTGTATTAGCACTGCCATTTAGAGACTACAGTTGTAGAACATGATGCTTTTGCTAGCTTTTAATTTTCAATCTAGTTTTGAAGTTGTTATTCTGTAGCTCCTACTAAGGTGCCTGTTAATTCCCTACAATGTTATGGATGTTATTAATATTGAAAGGCCATGTACTTAATACCACTGCTCTCATACCAGACTTCTCATACAAGGACCTATGCAATGTAGCCATCAGAGGCTTTTGGTTGGGCCCCGAGGAGGAGGCTGCTGGCGTGATAGTGAATAAGTCATCAGAGGGGGTTGGGACCGCTCATTTCAAACGTCGTGTAACAGGGAATTTAGACTGGACTCTCTTCGGGTCAGTGCCCTGCCTTTTTCTTTTTTTTTCCACAACACCATCTTCTCAGACACAGGCAGGGAGTGCACTAAGACACCCATGTAGTTCACTGTGCCATTGGCCTTAGGACTTGTAACCACTTTCTAGGGAGCAGTCAGATGGACATTTGCGGCCTGAGAATGAAGACACTACTTTAATAAAGAAGAGAGTGACCTGATTTCCCTATCAGAGGGAGAGGCTTGATGTTCTAGAGCCACTGTGTTGTGCTGCTGTAAACGTTATTCTGGTTTGACTTGTTACAGTGCCGTCCCTGCCTTTATGAGGAAGGCATAGCTCTTTGGGGGGGGCGGGGGTGTGATTCCTTTCGTTTCCTGTGTCATTATTTATTGCCTTTCAGAGTGTGGCCGTTTGGATGGCTTTACTCCTTCAGAGGACGTGCTTTGCTGCGTCTTCAGTAGCTTGAGTCTTCAATATAAGTATTCCGCAGCATATATTTTCAGACTTGCAGAATGTATCAGCCCCATGAAAGAGAATACCTGCTTTGTAATTATTCTTTTATTTAGCAGGCTCAGGTACAGTCTTTAAGAGCAAGTTTGTAGGAAGCCGTCTTGCGTTGAATGACAGGTCCACATCCGTGAGCTCTGCTGAAGTCTGGAAAACAAGCGCCTTGCTTGTTCCTTGTTTCACCAGGGTTAGATGTTTTTCCACAGTCATCATGTCACAGCCTTCCGGGCTGCAGCGTTCTGTGTGATTGGCCTTCTGTGGAACGGCAGGACTAAAGCTCTTAGCTGTCCCGAGTTCCATGGAGAAGTACAAACCTGTTCCTTAAGAGTTGTCAACATCACCTCTGTGATCTGTCAGTGAAAACTGCAGTCTGTCTGCCCCTCCAATGTCTGTCTAAGGATATGCTTATGTCTGTGGGTAGAAAAAGAAAGTGCACATAAGGTAAAAGCAAAACAAATGCGTCTCTGGCCTGCCAAAGGCAGTGCTTCTAAACAAGCCATTCGAGAAAAGCGTGGCTCTAACTTGGTGTTTGGTGCAACAAATGTTGGCCATCAGCACCCAGAACATCTGTCTGTGATGAGTCTCATGTGGTCCAGGCTGGCATTGACCATGCTAAGTTGCTGAGGGTGGCCTTGAGTTCTGATTCTTCTGTGTCTACCTCCCAGTGCTAGCCTGACAGACACCCACCATCATACCCAAGCTTCTGTGGTGCTGACGATCAGACTCACGACGTCATGCCTGCTAGGCGTGTGCTCGCCAACCGAGTGACATCCCCAGTTCAGTGTTCACATTTTTAGTATGAAAAATACATCAGTGTATGCCAAATAAAAAATATAGGTCTGCAAATAGTGAAAATTGCCATCAGTTTGGTGGCTTCTGCAAGTGACAGAATCAGAACCTCAGTCATAAATTATGGCAGCAAGATGCCAACTGGAAAAAAAGCAGGGCCTGAGGCCCATGTGACTGGTGTACCCACAGTGTGGCCTGGTTGTTGTTAGCAAACCAAATTTACTACCTGTAACCTCGTAGACACGCTGTTGGCCTTGCAGAATCACTACTATACTTTAGATAAAATTGTAGGAAGAAACCAGTTTTAAAATGACAGACAAATAGAACAAAATGTGAATCCTTTTCTGTAATGTTTCATGGTTGCTGGTGTAAGAAAAGTGGTGGTAGACGTACCTGGGTTGCTGATGAGACCAGTGTTAAGACTGCTAGGTAGAATACTTCAACCAGCTACACTAGGAATGCAGACAGGAACGTGCCGTTTGTTTATGGTGTTGGAAAGTTAAGACCTTGTGGGGGATGTAAATGACAGTGACGTGGCAATATGAAACGTACTGTCAAAGCCTGGGCCTTACCTCGGCAGCCTGTCTGCCGTCTGAGAGGGCCTGTGGGAAGCTTTCCTTCCCTTGCCAGTAGTACCTTTGGGAGGAGAGTTATAAAACAATGAAACCTTACTGCTGCAGGAAACCGAGTCAGGCAGGCTGGCGAGTTTTGTGCTTGCACTGCAGAAAGAACTAAATTTAAAATTTAGAACTAAGTTACCTGGACAAGGATTACACAAACTTCTCTCTTCTGAGGGCAAAGTCGGCTCTGGGACTGGATCTTTGCAGGATAAGAGAGAGGTCATCGCTGAACAGCAACTGTCTCTCTGTATTTCCCTGGCTAACCTGGAAATTATTGTGTAGGGTAGCCCCAAACTTGAGGTAATTCTGAAGTTGTAGGATTACAGGCACAGTGTACAGTGTACAGGTTCAGTGTTTTCTGCTGGTTTTTAAAGTTCAGCCCCTGAACTTTATGATGGTTTGCATGTAGACCTATTATCTTTGAAGTGCTCTAAAGCCCCTTCTTTGTCTTACCAAGTAAGTCCTCTGCTACCTGGGGTCTCAGTAAAAATGTGTGTTCTCAGTATACACAGAGCTAAACAAGCAGACAGCTTTTAAAGTAGGTAACCTCTGGGTTTAGAAGCATTTCATGATTGTAGGGGAGGGAGTTTTCCTAAATGGTGGCTTATAGGTGGCCCCAATACTATCTAGGGCAACCTTTTGAAGGTACTGTCCAGTTAAGTGGCTGTTTTCCTCATAGCAGTAGGGTTTTCTCTTTCAGAAGGTACCAATTCTTAGAAGTTTTTCTTGTTTAATAAGATGCATGCATAGGAAGTGAAAGGCATTTGTTGTAACTAACCGAGTTTTCTGTCTGCTGGACAGACACTGGGGCATTTCTGTGGACTCTGTTGGGCTGCAGTTGAGTGTGTGCTGATAACGGGCAGCAGTGTTTAACAGTGTCTGTCACCAGGCCTTTGTGTCACTAGGTCCTTTCCTGGCTAGGGCTGGAGGTTAAAACATTTAGCTGGTGACAGTTGCCATGCCTTTGTTACTGTGAACTCAAGTGTTAGCCGTAACAACACTCCAGTTAGGCCAGAGAGTCAGTCCTAAGTCCTCTTGAAAGGAAATCTTTTAAGTCAGTCGACTGTGCTCTTCTGATACCATTGGTGAGGCCAATGCTTTGGCCCTCTCGTAAAGGAGCTAAAGCTTGGCTGTTGGCCATGGTACTCTCTAGCATGACTGCTTAAAGTTGCAATGTAAGTTCATTTAAATTCAGGTAAGATATAATCATGGAGAATGACGAGCCTGTGTGCACCTGTCTGCCTTCCTAGAGGAAGTGATCTCACGTAGATGGTGAAGAGTGAACCAATGTCTGGCCGCGCTGTGGTCGGCTTACGTGTACTGGTCCTGCTTCTGTTGGTGTTGTAGAAAACGAAAACACGCTTCAACTCTGCTACTTTTTGATACTTACAAACATGTATTAGGTTTTACTATATTGTGGTTCTCAAAGCCATAACTCTTAAGAAATTTGTTTTTGCATACTGTTTGCTAATACTTTATTTTAATAAACCTCAAAATTTGCTTGTGGCGTCTGTCTTTTCTTTGTTTTCTGGGACTTTGCCCTGATTCACGATTCATACAGTGGTGACTAGGGACAGTGAGATTTTTCATTGATGCAGAATTACAGTGCTGTCCACAGGAGGTGCATAGACCTCACGGGTGCCCTGTAACCACACGCGTGTGCCCTGTAACCACACGCGTGAGCCGTGCTCAGAAAGGTAGTGTTGTGCATTCCATCTGTGTGGGAGTTGCCGTCCTTTCCTTTTTTGTGTTATAGGGAGTCCCTGTCTTTGTGTGTTTTGTTTTTAAGAAAGATTAAGGCCTATTCTATGGTGTTTTAGTTTAGTAACTTTTCTAGATTTCTTCTGAGTGAGGGGCTTTGCTTACAAAGCTGCTGTATAGTGTACCTGGCTGTACTGAGTCCTGGGCCTTATGGCTCTGTTCTTCAGCAGGATGCCTAACCAATCTGTGCTTCAGATTCTGCATCTGTAAAATAATACTTTATAGAAAAGTTAAATTAAGCGGTACAAGTCAAAGTATTTAGACTACTGCTTGGAATAAGATAATTCATTTAAATTATCTGTTAAATTTTATTATTTTGATTAAAGCTAGTATTTCTAATACTATTTGACCTTGACCTTAGTTGATAAACTGTTGGCCCATGGTCTTCTTAGTGAACTGGCTAAACTTAAAAACCCCTTTAGGGATGACACAGAGGGTCGGTGGGAGGCAGGGGAGGGGGGAGAGAGAGGGACCTGGGATTGACATGTAAAACAAGCTTGTTTCCAAATTAAATTTTAAAAAGGAAAAAAACTCTTAGGCTATTTATTGTGTGTGTTGGGGGGCGGCAATTGTGTCACAGCGTGCTTGTCGAGGTCAAAGCACAACTAGGGATTCTGTTCTACCATGTGGATCCCAGGGATCAAGCTCAGTCCTCAGGTGTGGCAGCACGCGCCCTTGCCCTCTGGCCCATTAGTGTTTCCTTTTTCAAGTTTTGTCTCCTTTCCTATCTTTGGTAACCGAAGGCTGCCATGGTCTGGTGCGTGCCTTCCCTAGCAGTGCCATGGCCAGCCAGAAAGACAGACTAGATTCTGTACCTCAGAGAACAAAGTTAAAGAGCACAGATATTCTTCTCTTTAGGGACAGTGCTTTCTTAGAGGAATTCCTACAAGTGCTTTCCTTGACTTATTTTTGTTTAGTAAGGTGTTTTCTGGCAGTCTGGTTGGGTTAGAAGCAGAGTGCACTGTGATACCGGCTTCTTGAATCCTAACATCATGAGCTTTCGTTTTGGTAGGACCCAAACAGTGGGGATGACCAGTGGCAGGACCTAGTGGATGCTGACCGTCTAGGAGACAGCGGTGTTCGTGATGCTATGTTTCGCAAGTATGCTTGAGAAGGCCACGGGCAAGCAGGCAGTCCTAAGAGAGTTCTAATCTAAAACTGTGATACATGCTGGAAAGAGGAGCTTTCAAAATGTCCCCCCAGTTAAAGTACGAGCTTTTGTTGAATCTAATAATTATTTTTTCATTTCTTTTTTCAGCCTAAGTCTTCCCTTTTCCACTTTGCTTCCTTAAGGAATAAGGGAGTGGGCAGTAGGGAAACCCTGAAGACCAGCTGTGAGCATCTTGACCTCCCCCAGACTGAAAGGTCTTTAGATGGAACAGTGAGAGAGGGTTTTGGCCAGTGTTGAGGACTCTTATCCTCCGTGTTGAATTGAGAGGCAACTAAGTGTGACAATTGGCGAGAGCCATGTCCGGAGCGGTTTGTTCACGTCTGGAGATGGATTTGTTTGGTTGCTTTTTGTTTGAGCCGTAGTCTCGTGTGTAGTCGAGTAGCCAAGGGCGACTGCGTTCTGCATCTCTTCCTCTAGTTTCTGAGTGGTGGGATTGCGGGCACCGCCCACTAGGCAGTGTCTGTCAAGAACGCTTGTGTGTCGGGAAGACACTGCCTCAGCTGAGCTATACCTACCCCAGATTACTATGTCTTGATCTCACCCCTTCTTCACTCCATAAACTTGACTCATCTCATTTTAAGGATCCAAGGTAAATACAGAGAAATTTGACAGCACAGAAAAGCACACCCTAAAACTGTCAGACCACGGGACATGTAGGTGTGTGCTCCGGTGTCTGTTCAGGCAGTCACCTGCTGTTGGTCTTTGGCTTCCTTTGACAGATTCACAGCTCATTGTGGGTGACTCTGAGTGTGTGGGGCGCAGTATGTTCCTGGGTACAGTGTAGACGTACACTCACCTACGCACACTGCAGGTTGGTCTTAGCTGCCTTTCTTTGTCACTGTCTGTCTGCTGTTGGGGACAGGAGCTGAACCTCACCTCACCACTTGACTAGACCGGCTGGGCAGCAAGCTCCAGGATCCGTCTGTCTGCCCACCAGCACCGGGTCACCCCACACACCTGGATTTATGTGGGCACTGGGACCTGAACTCAGCCCCTCATGTTTACACAGCACTCACTGGGCCATCCCACCAGCCCCAGACAATGAGTGGCGCTCTGCACCCCACTTCTCGTGTGTTCCAAGGGAAACTGGTTTGATGCCCATGTCTTTTATTTTTGAGGTTACAATATAGTATAATTTACTCCTTCTCCCTCCAAGTCGTCCTACAACCCCCTTCTGCTTTCCTTCAGTCTATGGCCTCTTTCCTCATTAATGGTTACTTACATGCTTAGATGCATACACGCATACATAGTGTTCTCCCAGACACAGCCTGCTCACCTGTTCAGTGTCACCTGCATGCCTGCCTTCAGGGCAGGGCACCGGGCACCGGGCAACCAATTAGCATGCTTCTCCCCAGGAAGACCCCTCCCACTCGCAGTATTGTCCTGTTGCCTGTGGTTCTCTGTGTAGGGCAGAGGCAGCGCAGTCTTTCGTCCATCCACGGTGGCATATCTGGCTGCTGTTGTCCTTGTTCAGCTGATGTTTATGCAGTCATTTTGGTGAGACTTTTTAGTACAGCAGTTGGTGCAGCAGCTATGAAAGCATGGAAAATTTTCAGGTGAAAAACAAATCTCCCGTGTGACCCAGCTGTGCTACTCCTTGACTCGACACAACGTACCCCAAAGACTCGACACAGTTGCTCAGCCAAGTTCATTGCTGCTCTATTTGCAATAGCTAGGAGAGATGGGAATAACCTAGATGACCTTCAGCTGATGACTGGACAATGAAAATGTGGTATCTAGGCGCTAAGGAATACTGTTCGGCTGTAAAGAAAGTCGTGAGCTTTCCGGGTAGACAGGTAGAACTGGAAAAAAATATCGGGGGAGGTAAATCCAGACCTGGAAATAGAACGTTCCATTTTCTTTCTTCTTGGAAGCTCCTAGCTCCAAATCTTCAGGTGGGACATATCATGGAGTAACTGCAGAAACCAGGAAGTAAACAGGGACCATTACCAGAGTGGGGGGGGGCAATAGGGAAGGAAATAGGCACAGGTGATCTGGTTGGCAAGGGGGGGTCTCTAAGTGGGGAGGAGAAAGGGAGATCAGTGATAGAAGGAAAGAGGTAAAATAAGATGTCTGAAACTACTATAAGGAATCCTTAACTACCTTAGAAAACCTATAATACAAGTAAGTGTATGTATAAATATGTAATTTAAGTGAAAATTCCTCATTTGGACTGACAGTGCTCCCTCCAAGAGCCAAAGACCATCTGACAAAACCCCCTGACACCAGGCATGAGAAGGCTCTTTGTGAGTTGTTGGTCAGGATGTCCAAGAGACTCCCGAAACATTACAGGCTGTTGCTGTTACCCGCCTGGCTTCCGAAGACAGACCTGCATCCCCTGTCGGATCAGTTCCCAAATCTGCTGTATGACATGAAGCCTGGTGCGATTTTAATACTGGACTTTACCTTTTAAGTAACATAATAAGACAATTTTTAGTTAAATTGGTTCTAGCTCAACATCGTTAGAGCTCATCACCACATCTCAAAGGGAAATTCAGCCAAGAAATTGCAGCACTTAATCTATTGGTTGTCTTTGAGCCCTTGGGCCTTTGCCGTGATGTAATCAGGTGCTGTAACTTGCTTCGCTGACCTATAAAATTAGCAGTTGAGTTGGTGCTTTCACCTTTTGGCATTTGGTGCTCTCTGGGAGAAAGTAAAAAGGACAGCAGGAGACCAGAAGAGACACATGCACTCTTATTTTAGAGCTTAGAGGTGAATGCGTGCGCCCTCATCTTTGTGCTCTGGCTTAGGCCGGGGAGGTTCTCCCCCAACCGTTGCGCATAGGGAAGGCCTTTTGTTGCTCTCACGTGGGCTGCACAGGAGGCCTCTGAGAGCTCGATTAATTTTGGTGGAGGTTATGTGGGTGATAAAGGCCCAGGACTTGGACAGCTTTGTGTCAACATTAGTTCAGAAGTGTAATTAACATCAAACATTCCACAATTAATCTCCCCACACTTCTGCAAAATGTGGTTTTCATTAACTTAGAGTGGGTTAGACCAAGTGAGCAATGCCAGTGAATATGGGGAAAATGTAAACACTGGTGACGTGAACTCAGCTGCAGAGGCCTCTGAGAATCGTCCTGCGTGATCTGCTTAAACCCACTACAGGCTTCACCTCCCTCTCTCTGTACCCTGTGTTCCCTTTGCCCAGCCTGCCTAGTCCTGACCTTGATGCAACTAACATTTGAGAACTGTATGTGTCATGCGGATATACAGATAAAAATTTCTTCCTTGTAATCCTCATTCTTATTGATGGAGACACCAGACAAGGTAAGTAAACTGGACGTTTACTGGTAAATCCTAAGGGGAAAACGCTGGGAAGGGACGGTGGGGAAGATTACAGCTGTGAATGCAGTAGCCAGCAAAGAGCTCAGCGAAAAGCTAATTTGGGATTAAAGTTCAGGGGACAAAAGTGAAGTCAGCATGTGACATGGGTTGAACATGTTTGTTCCAGGCAGTTAAGGCATAGGAGCATCAGGGCTAAGATCTGTTCTTTCCTGCAGGAAGTGCAGTGTTATAAGCAAAAATAGGACATGTACTAATGTATAAATCCCATGCTCAGTGTTGTATGTAACTCCAGTGTTACATACACTGGATTACCACCTTGGGAAATGGGCTACTTGGAAGACCAGTCAGTAAGAGAGAGTTCAACTCTATTTTGCCAGATACAGGTTTAGTTTCAGGTGGAAAATCAAAAATAGATGCACAAGTAAAACTCATCTAGCCGTTTCCCCCAGTGTAGGTAACAAGTGCTTACTGAGTGCGTGTTTGCTGTCTTTAAAACATGCTGGGCTTCTGGAAAATATGTGTGCAATTGTGGGGAAGAAACAGGCTGATTATAGCCATGTCATAACTCTCACTAGGGACCAAAGAGAGGAGGGAGCACCAAGTTTGAAATGTCCACTTTGAGAGTGTAGGATGAGGTAATAAGCCCAAAGGGAGACCGACGGTGGGGAAACACAGTACTGTGCTTTCCTAAGTGTAGTTTGTTCTGTTCAGTGAGCTAATATCCTTGTAAGTCATCTTCCCGATGACTGGGCTCGCCCAGAATAGAACTCATCAGTGCGGAGGGCTCAGGCATGTCCTTTTGACAAAGATGGGAGAGAAAGCAGCATGGGGCGGAAGGATCCTAGGGACTAAAGGGTTTCAAGTTCAAGAATATGGGGGAGCCAGGCTGGTTGTGGGCTCAGTTGTTTTCACTCAGGAGGGAAAGGAGAAGCCATTGGAGAGGAAGCAGGGAGCAGACGCCTCAGTCAGACACACGATGGGAAGTAGATGAAGGGAGGGCGCTTTGAGGTTGAGTGGCGGTAGTGGAGATGAGGGACCCGAGGGGGTGAAGGACGTTCAGCAGATAACACACGAACATAGGAGCACCCTGGTTTTTTTAGCCTGGGGCAATCATATGCTAATGCGGTTAATATCAGGATTGAGAATGCTGAAGAACCCTTAAACTGATATGGAAAGGTGATGGTCTTAGACTTTCTGAGTTTTCCTGTGAGATGCCCAGCTGGGGCACAGAGCCGCTCAGCTGTGGTGGGAGGGTCCTCTGAGGAGTACCAGAAACCATGGAGTGGATGAGGTCCAGCTGCCTCTGGCTTGGGCAGACCTGCTGGAACTGCAGACCCTCCCTCCCTGTCTACTTAGTCCTGTATGGATGACAAGACCCCAAGTCTCGTGAAAAACCGTCTGTCCTGCTGGAGTCAGCATCCCAACTAACCACAGCAATAGCTCACATTCAAGTACTTCCGTCATATCCTACATGAGCTGAGCACTTGACCTGGGATGTCTGTGTTGGAAGTGCCACAGGGTAGCTGCTTCAGAGGCTCACAGATGTGACTCGGGTACAGAGTGTGTGATCAGACTTGGGTCACCACTGACTTGGTCCCCATTGTTGTCACTTCCTGGTTCCCATTATCTGCAACCCTGTGCTCCCCCCTCCCCACCCTGTCAGAGTGTCTTGCTAACACTGCTGCTTCCAGGGTCTGTCTGAGCAGGGGTACAAACGCCCATGGCACAGTCACTTCCTATTTTTAGCCCACCGCACCCATCTCTCTTAAGGTGTTTCCATTTCCGTTTGGGGTTAGGGTTGCAGAGGCAGAAAGCTGTGGGTGGCTGTTTCTAGCCTATTGACCGCCACCTGTCGTAACTGCGGGGCTGCTGAAACGAAATACCGAATTCGATAGATTAAACAATAGGTATGTATTTTCCCATAGTTCTGGAAGCTAGAAGTCCCGCTGGAAGAGCCTGGTTCAGTCAGTTTCTGAAGAGGGTTTGTGTGTGGCCAGCACCTCTAGATGTGCTCACATCGCCCTCCCAGCTACGGGGAGCGAGGGGGGGGGTGAGGACTTCACTCATGTCTTCATGAAGGGCCTGTTCCCTGCAAACGCAGCCGTTCTGGGAATCAGGACCTCAACATGTGAATTTGGGGAGAGCATACATATCGTTCAGTCCAGGATGCTAAGTTGCAATCACATCATAGTCCATTCGCATGTCACCAGTGGACAAATGGGAACCTGGCCACATTCTGCTGCTCCTGGAGAACCCCAGTCCAGCATAAGAAACATTGCTGCTCAGCTAGTCCAGCACCGCCCTACGCAATGGAATGGAGTTATTCAGAACAGCGGTGCGGGCACTCGGCGTCCTTCTGACTCGGCTTGCGTTCTACATTACAGATCCACGGAGGCCCAATCATCTGAAAATGTATTCCAGAAGCATCTATGGGAAGTAGCCAGAGATGTGTTCCAGCGTGCGTCTACCTTAGCACCTTTTGTCACCTTGCTCAGTGATCCCAATGGTGCTGGATCACTGTGGCTATAGCTGACAGAGGTCGAGGGAACCACAGGTGACTGGCGTCATAGCCAGTTACTCAGTCATGTTCTCTGAGGGGGCCACCCCTGTGGCCACAGAAGTCTGGTGGTGAGCACACCCTGTCTGGGTGTCAGCTTCCCTTCAGCAGTGCTGCCTCAAGTCTGTACCTCAATTTAAGAAAAATTAACATTGGTAGCTCATTCTGTGCAAGCATTGTGCAGGCCGTTGCACTGGTTTAGTCTGCTACCTGGCAGAGCTAGGATAACATATACCCATTTCACAAAGGAGGCCACGGGACATAGGTTAAATAATTCATACAAGGTCATATGGCTTTTGAGAGACAAGTTGGCATGGAAAGCCAGAGGTGGGCTCTGACGCTGCACACCACCTTCAAAGCTGACCACTGGGATGTAGGAGAGGAAGGTCCTGTCCTCCATACCTTCCCTACCCCTTCCGTCCCCCAGCCCCAAGCATGTGATTTTCGTATGCCAGCTAGGGGCTCATGGTTTACATATCTATCTATGCTCACGTAGTCTCCAGTGCAACCATGTTGCATGTGGATTTGCCGGGCTATCCGTCCCAAAAACTTAGAGATGTTTGGCTCCATTTCCAAATAATAGTCTAAAGTGCTGTGAGCCGATGGGGAGTGGGGAGCTCTAGAGCCTGGCTGTGTGAGTGTCCAAACCCAGAGCTTTCCCACTTCCTCCGGCAACCTCCCCAGCTTCCTAGGTAGGGGTAGGAGGCATGATGGAGAGCCCTGCTTAGTCTCCCTGGGTCTCCTGTTTGGCTATCTGAACATGTCTGAAACCCCCTCTAAATGCTTCAGAATTCTCTGTGTGTATGCATTTGGGCCAATGTGCTTTCCTGTTTAGATTCTCTAAGCTCCCATGACTCCAGCATGGTCTAGATTTAACTGGATTAATATGTCAAGTTCTTCAGTAAAAAAAAAAAAAAAGTCTCTTAGGCTTGAGTGAAGTGAACCTCTTTAAGCCAAGTGACTCCTGAAGTATTCTACACACCCATTAAGATAACTCCCCGGCCTGGCATGGTAGCCCATACCTTTAATTCTAAGGGGCAGGCAAACCTCCCTAAGTTCCAAGCCAGCCAGGGCTGTAAGACCCTGTGTCAAAAACCAAGCACGTCCCTGGAATTAGGCTAACTTTGACCTATCTCCTCACTGTCCAGTTCTTTGTCCTCGTCCCCATGCAAGCGTTTCTGTGGGGTTCCCGGGACTGGCTTCTCTCTGCTTGCGAGGATGCTCTGTCTCCCGCTTCAGGATCTACCTTCACCAAGCCCTTGCCCTGGTTCAGGAGCCTCAGAAAACAAAACAAGACACTTTCTAGAGCAGGTAAAATGCCGGGGGGAACCAGAGAGGAGCAGGTATGCTCAACACAGTCCTGACTCTTGCAGGTCTAAGCCTGCTGGGGATAGGCCTGCCCATATTCCACTCCCAAAATGGTGTGATCAGTGTTCTCAGTGCTGGGTTTAATGTGGTGAGTTTTTATTGCAGAAATAGGGTCCGTGGAGGCTTGAGGTGCAGACTGACTCTCCGTTGCAGCAGCCAGCGGCTGTGACCATCTGCCCCTCCATTGGTCCCCTTAACCCCCGCTCTTAAAGGAAACTGGGTACTTGAACCCAAGCCCGACACAGTGAAACCTCGCATCATTTCTCTATGGGAACCCCAGGGTCAAAGAACAAGAGCTGTGGCAGCAGGGAGTCCAGTCGGGACAGGCAGCTCCTGGTTAGTCCCGAGCTCGCAGTGCCTGCTGCGAGCAAAATCAGGAACTCACCAGGCAGGCCAGGCTCCTGCGTCCCGGTGGGTACTCCTCTTTCTGGATGGTTTCCTGGCAGGACCCTCTGTAGGTAGTGGACAGGGAGGGGGGACTCGCCTGGGGAGTACTTTTCAGGTACCTGAGCCAAGACCCCATGCAACCTCGCAACCTCAATAGCTCTCCTACCATCTCTTATTCTTCAGGTCCGAGAGGGTCTTTAGGTCTAGACGAAGTGTTCCAGGGGCCAGCGACTCTGGAGCCCACCCCGCTCTGCTCTGCAAGGCCAAGACCAAGCGCCCCGCGGCCCCTCTGACTCCATTTGCTCTATACCGGCCGCGTCTTCCAGGGCGCACGGGCATCGCGCAGTGAGCGGTCGTGGGGCAGGGCAGCAAAGGCCGAGTGGCGCAGCTGGCAGCCGATGAAGAGGACGACAAGAGCCACGGACAGCAGCAGGAGGAAGAAGAGCAGCAGGTAGGTGGACAGGTCAGGCTTGGTGGCCGAGCTGTCCCGAACGCCACGCGCGGTCGCCAGCTCCAGAGGCAAAGCACCCTCCGCCTTGACAGTGGCCCCGGGGGCCAGCGCGCCGCTTCCCGCTGCCTCCGGGCCGCTGGTGGCGTTGAACACGTCGCCGTACATGATCCGCGGGTCCCGCCGACCCCGGCAGGACCTCCTCACTTCTGCTGCAGACGGCCAGTGCTCAGAGCCTCCATGATGTTCCTCCTGCCTTGCTGCGCGCACCTGAGGAGAAATTGGTGCCCCCGCTGGCCGGGCAGCGAGGTCACTAAGACCACGGCCGGGGCGGGCGGGGCACGGGGGAGGGAGTGGGGGGGTGGTGTCCAGATGGGGACCCAGACACTTCAGTCGGTCCTGCTTCTGGATGTTGCTACCAGGACAGAGTCCGGAGCCCCTGGCCCATCTGGAGGTTTTGCTTCCCCTCTTCAGCTCGGGTGAGCTCCGGAGCACTCCTGGGCTGCAGCAGCGGCGAAGGGTGCTGGTGAATGCAGCAGCAACTCTGTGGGGCTCTGCGTGGGGCTTGGGGTGCTGGAGGATCCTCTGCTTCCCGGGTCCCAGAGCCTCGGGTCCTTGTCCAGACGCCCCGTGTGTAGGAGCCTGTCCTAACGTGCTCCCAACGCTTGGCTCCTGCTGGAGCTGGATGGAGACTGAGCTCCTAGCGCCTTGTGTCCTGGGCGGGAGGGAGGCAGGGAGGGGACAGGATTTGCTGCACTGCCCTGAGAGAGGCGGCTAACCAATGGGTGAGGATCAGAAAGGACGCGGGCAGCATTGTGACTGCCTGCCTCTGTCACTCACCAAAGAGGGTACTGAGGAGGGGGAGGGCGAGAGAGGGAAAGGAGTGGAGAAGCCAGCAGGAAGCAGGGGTTTTAATTCCTCTTCCAGGTTGCTTGTCTACAAAGCCTCACACCTGGGATTGAAGGAGCTGGGATTTGAACCCAGGATATTGCACCCAGAGTTGCCTCTCGCGGCAGAGTGGTTTCTGGTGGCTGCTGTTCATGTCTGTAACTGCACTTTGACCATAGGACATAGGATTCAGGGTTCGTGTCCCACACTGCAACCTGTCATAGTGCTGTGGCACCTCTGCCTACCCCAGGTGGATCCGGAACCCAGGAGGGATGTCACTTGACAAGGTTGCATGGTTGGGTCGTAGCGCAAGGGAGTCTGGGCTCAGCACCCATCTACCTTTTTTGGGGGGGGGATAGGCAGGGGTGGATTCACAACTGACTTATGACCAGCCACCGGCCATCGGGCAGAGCATTCAATTAAAGGGGGACTCGTTTTTGTCGATTTGACACAAGCTAGAGTCATCTGGGAATCCCAAGAGGGACCCTCCGCTGGGGAATTGATTGTGGACCTGTCTGCGGGGCATTTCCTTGAATAATGACTGTTGAGGGAGGTGTGCTGTGCCATCCCTGGACAAGTCGTCCAGGGCTGCAGAGAAAAAACAAGCAGGCTGAGCAAGCCGTGGGAGCAAGCCAGTAAGCAGCACTCCTCCATGGCCTCTGCTCTGGTTCCTGCCCCCATGCCCCTCAGTGATGGCCTGTGGCCAGGAAGGAAGCCCAAACAAGCCATTTCCTTCTCTAAGCAGGTCTTGGTCGGAGAAACAAACTAAAATAGGGGTAGCCTGGTTCAAAGACCACATGCCCCCCTGAGTGCTCACACCTGCCTTTCCCCCTTTCCCCTTCTGTCTCCCCACCCCCACCCCGGGCCCCAGGTGGTAGCCAGTTTGCATAGAGCCCCAGTGACCGGCTGCCCATTGCTCAGGCACACCTGAAGGGTTCCACGAATGGGTCGGTCTCTTGCTCAGCAACCCTTGTCTACTCTGCTCTCCCGTAAACAGGCAAGAAGAGAGCATAAGCTGGCTACGGTCGGTCGGCTCAGATTGGTAGTCCCGGAAAAGACTCGGTGGCCTCACCAGAAGTAGGCGGCCAGTGGGACTTGGGGGTGGCGGCGGCAAGTCCTTGCTTCATGCACGAGCCAAACGTGCAAGCTGCCACACTCAACAGGGCACCCGTTCAATAGACAGGGGTTGCCTTTGACGTCACTGCGCAGCAAAGGCTAGAGCCAGGGGCTGCAGGCGAGGCCCAGGACCAAGGCAGACAGCGGCCCTCGGTGTGCGCAAGCGCAGGGGCTCCCTTCAGCTGCACACTCCAGATGTGTCTGTCACTCTTCGCCCTGGCGCTGGCTCTGTTACCTCCTCCCCGACTGTGGGAGAGCTTTATGCTTTACACAGTCGGTCGCATTCGGGTCTGTGTCTCCCCGCTCCTTTTTCCTCCCCATGCAAAGAGACTCGAGTGCCTCGGGATAACCTGGGCTGTCAGCTGAAGGGGCCGATGGGAAGAGGAGCATTGCAAGGGCAGCCACGGCGTGGCAGGCCAGAGCTCATCCTCGCGAGCCCCTTCCTCGGCTGCCTCTTCAGCCTGTCTGACGTGGCATGGTGGGCCCAAGTGCCGAGTGGAATGACCCTGGGGAGCCTCCCTGGAGGACACGGTAGGAGTCAGCACTGTCCACACCCACTCAGTTGTCGCCCTGGACAGCTTTAGACCTGGAGAGCAGCCCGTGTGCTGAAAGGACTCGGGTCCCTGGGCCTCTACATTTGGGTACTGTTCGGACCAACAGCTCACTTTTCAGATGGCAAAGCTGGCAGCCCTGGGAGGTGCCGGGATTTATCTTTGTGGGCACAGGGTGCTGTCACTGGCACCGGGCCGCAGTAGCAGGGGCAGGAGGCCTTTCTCTGTGGACCTGACCCGTTTCTCACCGCAACTGCAGGGGAAATGGGATCCCACGGGGGATGGCAAGCCAGAACCGGCCTCACTGGCACCTCGCCCACATGGTGGCTGGCATCGGGGCCGGATGAAGGTTTTGTTCTGAGTCCTTGTGTGGCTTGAACGAAAGGCTCCGTGGCTAGGTTTGGGACTTGGCCTGGAGCGCTCTTCTGAGCGCTGTATGGGAAGCGGTGGAGCCCACTTTCCCTGCTCATCAGTGGGCTTCCTGCCACTGCGTGGGTCCTAAGTGGCATCCTGGACAGGACAGCGCCTTTGGGCTGCAAAGGGAAGCTGGATAGCAGACACATGTCTAGTCATGCTCAGGTAGCAGGTTGTGTTCCAACACACGGCTGTGGAACACAGGTGTATAAAGAGTGTTCGGTGTCGAGTGAGGGGGGCGTCCCGGAAACACCACAGGCACCTGGAGGGGACAAAGTCATCTCTGATGCTGGGGTCCCCCCTCTATGCTGTGCAATGGCCTCCCACCTGGCGCTGAAGGAGCTGGGCCACCAAGGCTATCCAGTTGACTCACGGGAGTCGCTGTCATGGCAGAGCGGTTTTGGTAGCGGCTGCTCAGGCCTCTAGCCACAAAATGAATACAAGGCGTGGGCTCCATGGTTCCTCCGGCACACGGCAGCCGGTGATGGCGCTGTTGTAGCTCTGTGTCCCCCAGGCAGGCACTGGGACCCAGGAAAGGGGGTCCTTCACACGGCTGGGTTCCACAGCCTGGGAGTACTCACCCAACCTATAAGGGAGCATGTCTTTCGTGTTGACAAAGTTGGAGGGAGCACACTGCCCTTTGGGGAGAGTCCTCTGGTATTGGTGGGGAAGCCACGGTTTACTTTCTGAAAGGGGTAGTCAGAGCCCTGAGAGGGTTGACCACGTTCCCTGCACATCCCCGGGCAGGAAATTAAACAAGGCTGTTGCTGAGTAAATGAGAGATGGCGTTTACACAGCTCTTTATACAAAGCCACAGCGGCCTCCCATTAGGGAGCTCTGTGTACTCACACACTTAAGTCTTTGGAAAGATTGTGAAAGGGGGCTCGGAGGCCGCCTTTGCCTGGCAGAGGTCACAGGGCTGTGAGCTCACAGAGACCTCTCTCCCATTACGTACTTTGTTGAGCGGCGCGTGTGTCTTTCCTGATGCCTGCCTGCGGAGACCCTAGGGAGGTGAGGTAAGGACGCCCTCCTGCCAACGCAGCTATCTGGCAGCTGTTGAGTGGAAACTGGGGGAGATGGGAACCCTGAGCCCCAGGATTTTGTAAACTTTGCTGAAAATGGTGCGGTGTGTGGGGAAGCCATTTCTATTTCTTGTAAATGTTTGGGGAATCATCATGAAACCACCAGTGTCAATCAGGCTGGGGGTGAAGGTCAGAGTTGAAGAGACTCCTTGCGTGTGTGTGGGGGGGGTGAGTTCATACCTCCCTCATGAGTGCTGAAGACTACCTTTCTTGCAGAACATATTTTTGTTTTGGGGGTTGGTTTGTCTATCATCTATCTATCTATCTATCTATCTATCTATCTATCTATCTATCATCTATTTTGGAAATAGGGTCTGTGTAGCTCTGACTATTCTAGAAATCACTCTGTAGACCAGGCTGGCCTAGAATTCGGAGATTCAAGATTCCCTGCCTCTGCCTCCCGAGTGCTGGGATTAAAGGTGTGCACCACCAACGCCCAGATATTTTTATTTTTTTTAAACTGCTTTTGCCCCAGTATCTGTCTCAACCTGAGAACAAAGGAGGTACTGTGTTTCTGGCATAGTAAACCCCACCTTCTTCGGGACTCCTCTCAAGTCTGGCAAGCCCGATCTCCGACATGCCCGCTCTCCCAGCCTGTCACCTATTCTCATTCTGAAAACTGCTTCATTTTGGAGTCTTGGGGACATTTGTTGTTTATTTCTTTAGAGGACCAATCTAAACTACAGCTAGGTCATCGGCCACCACAGTCGTCAAGACCGTGAAACAAGGGCTAACTGTCGCTAGGGATGACCGTTTGGTTCCTCTGGGGGCCAGCCTCAACCACGCCACACTCACTGCATAGCGACATTTCTTTTTCCATCTCTTGAATCCTTTTGATTATGAAGAGGAAAAAGTTCCAGTGCGATGCTGTTAGTGGCGGGTGGGCTTCTGAGAAGCACTGGGCGCCGCGATGAATGAATGAATGAATGAATGAATGAATGGATGGATGGATGGACTGGGTAGGTACAAGAAGCCACCGGGCAGTCACAGAGCTGCTGTGTGTGACTCTGGAAGGAAAAGCCTGAGAGGAAGCACTTCAGCGCGAAGCACCCCATCGCCCAGGCCTGTGAGGAGTTCCCAAGCAGACATGGCCCCATGGGAGCCTCTCCTGGGTCAGGGTGCAGGATCCAGTTCCGAGCTTGCTGATTTCTCGGAAGGCTGCTGTTCTTTCGCTCGGGCTGGGGCTGGCGACCCTTTGTGGCCTGTGGAGTTCAGGGAGAAGACACAGGTGGCAGGGACTTGCTTTTCCTAAGAAGTCTTCTCTCAGCCCTGGCCCAGCAGGACCACCCTTCCTGCCCACCCTTCTGAATCTTGCTGGTGTCTGGGCCGGGTGAGCGCCCCCTTGTGGTCAGTGTCTCCTGCTTTTCCGTTTCTGTTTTGCGTTTTAAGGCATGGTAAGGCGTGGTCTCAGGCTGTAGCCAAGCTGCCACTGAACGTGTGACACTCCTCCTTGCCTCAGCCTCTCAAGTGCTGGGAGGTTACACAGGCGAGCGCGCCTCACCTGGCTGAGTGTGCCATTTCTGCGGTCAGTGAATCCCAGGCTTCCGGAAGTCCTTGCTGGGCTGACCACCTCCCTTTCCTATTTTTGCTGGCGTGGCTTCCGCCCAGGCCCAGCCTGTGTTGCTGAGCTCGGAGACCGCAGTAGCTTCTGAGGTCCAGTCTCAAGGTGGGTCTAGGTCGAGTAAACCCTCGAGTATGTACATCTAAGGGCGCTCTCTGGGAATAAAACTCAGGACTCAGTTTTTTAAGCGAGCATTTACTTAGTATAGGAAACAGAATCAAAGTAAACGTAAATCTGACTTAGCTTGAGGCCTGAAGTTGTTTGAATGAAAACGGCCCCCA